CAACTGTATGGGATTAAATACCCAGAAGGAAAGTGCAACCAAAGAGTGCAGCCATCAGAATATTTCTTTTTTCTTTTTCTTTTTTTTGGTCTTTTTGAGGCAGGGTCTCTCTGTGGCCCCAGTTGTCCTGGAACTCATTTTGTAAACCATTTTGGCCTTGAACTCACAGAGATCCGCCTGCCTAGTTCAAAGGATTACACTTTCCAGACATTAGGCTTAAGTCTATATAAAAATTATTTAGACAATTATTTCTGATTGATGATTTTGTTCCTAATCAGAAAGTGCTGCTCAGATGTAAGACTTCAAATCTTGGTCTGCAATACTGTAGTGCCCACCTGTAGCTAAGGGAGACAGCCAATTAGTGTTCTAAAATGATGGATAATTTTTTTTTCTCCCCCTATCTAGAAGCCTTTGAGAGGAACTGACACTGATTCTAACCACTCCAACAGCTATCAGAACCTCAAAGCAAATCCTGAATCCATCACTCTAGAGTTCAGCCTTGGAAGACAAAAGAAAATTGAGGTGGAACCCAAGAGAGGGATGCCTTTGGAAGCCCTTGTCAAGAAATTCCAATGGACTCTCATATGAACATTTGAAAATTGCCCTGTTCTGACTTTTTTCTGGTTCCCTATCTAGAACTTGTAATGCTAATTACTCTGACTTTACTTCTCCTTCACAGCTCCTATTCAGGATTCAAGGACTTTCTTTTCCCCTTAAAGATAAGAGTGATGTAATTTGGGAGTCTTTTAGATAGACCCACTGGAGGGGTACTCCAATTGCCTCATCCTGCGTCCCTGTTCAGTATGGAAGAAGCCAGAGTGGTCTGTGTCCTGATTCCCTATTGGCAATTTGGGCAACCCTTTCAGAGGATGGTGTGATAAGAATAGGAGGTAGGTATTGGCTAGGCAGTTAGGGTAAAAAGACTCCAAAGAAAAGTAGCCAGTTTCTTGGCTAAAACATACAATGTCCTTGGGCCTCTTGGCAACTTACTCTGTTCCAAAGGCCAAAAATGTCACAAATATTTGGGAGCTTTTTTCTAATCCTTAAACAATTTTAGGGTTACCTCTTCAGAGGGGGGAATGTTAGAGGCTGAGGCTTGTTTATGGAAGTGGTATTTAATGATAAGGTCACCAGAATAAGAAAGAATTCTCCAGGCCAAAAGGATAAGAATTCATATTCCAGGCTGGGAAGTGCAGTTGTCAAACTATTTGAAGACTTGTTCTTGTGAGAAAAAGAGAAACGTTTGGCATTGAGAAATTGACAGTACTAAGAAGATGGGGAGGGGCAAGCAGCATTTTCCAGGTCATATCTGGATTTTGTGAAAACACAACGGGAAGCTACAGAGGGTCACAGAGCAATGATCAACTTATTTTGAGAAACACCTGTCTGGTTGTCGTGGTGAGAAAAATGAATTCTAAGGATAATACAATCAAGATGCTTAAGAAGACAGCAACACACACCCTGGATACACACCCTGTAAAACACACACTGGATATTATTGTGTGGCAAATCTAAGCATATTTTGAAAGCAAAATATAAAATACGGTCAATTTTTTTTAGAATATGGTCTTTATACAAGTGAGCATAATTTAAGTTGGGAAAACTACTCATTTTCCTTTTCTAAAAATGATATTGTATTTTTTAGAATTTCATACAATGTATTTTGATCATATTCAGCCCCTCCCCCACCTTCTCTAAGATCCAACCCCACATATCTATCATTTCCCCAAATATCTTATTTTATTTAAAGCCCACAGAGTCCAATTCATGTTACCCAAATATTCCTGGAAATGGGTTCATCACCTGGAGCATGGTCAACCTACCAGGGGTCACACCTTTAAAGAAAACTGAATTTCCATCTCCCAGAAGTGATGAATTGTCCATCACTCCTCAGCAAGGGGTGGGTTTCATATCAACCTCTCCCCTCATGCTGGGAATTTGACTTATACTTTCAGAGGTCCTACACATACTGCCATAACCACTGTGAGTTCATATGTGCAAACTGCCCTGCTGTTTCCTTGTAGCCATCCACTACTTCTGTTTCTTACAATTTTTCTGCCTTTTCTTCTTTCAAGATCCCTGAACCCTGGGGAGGGGGTAGGTGGTGATATAGATGTCCCATTTAGAGATGAGCCCTCTTCAGTCCCTTAGACTCTGCATATTGACTAGTTTTGAGTCTCAGTATCAATCACTGCAAAAAGAAGCTTCTCTTATGTATGTAGCAAGTCATGACAATAGAAGTCAGTTTAATATTACATTCATTTAGGAGATTAAGTAATTGGATTTCCCATAAGGCCTATGACCTATCTAGGCACAGGTTTGTGTGCCTTATAATAGGCCAGTTATGGGTTTCACCTCGTTAAGCAGACTTTAAAACCAATTTAAAAGTGTTTGGTTACTCTTGTACCATTCATGACACTATTGCACCAGTGGGCATATCTTGCCATGAGGGTATATATTGTAGCTTACAGGGCTCACAGCTGAGTAAAATTGATGACTACTTTTCTCTTCCAGTAATACACATAGCACTCTTGACAACTTAGCCAGTAGGATTGAAGCTGCAAGGTCAATAACAGTTTTTAATTTTTCCATGTTCTATGACTCAGGTGGGCAGTGTCTTCAGTACCAGGGCCTTATCATCAAGTTCTCTGGTTCTCTGCCCAGGAGGCAGCACAGCTGTCTCTTTGCTCTCAATTAAACTGCTGTCCCCCATGGAGTTGTCTTAGTCAGTGGTCTTCACGGCATGCTCCCATACATACGGTGCCGAAACCTTGGAGGAATGCCGGGCTTCTTATGACCCAGTTCCTCCTTTTACCAAACCAAACTACTGACCAGAAACTCCTGCCTGTGATAAGGACCATCTTGCCTATGCTGTCTCCCACCACTCACCACATCAGTCCTGAGATTACTAGTCCATCTGTCTTCTTCTCTCCCTCTCACACTCTGACAGAATTCCGGTAACAGCTCTCCTCCAGAGCTGCAGATCTATTTCTATACTTTCTCTCTCTCTGTGTGGAGGTCTTCCCTTCTCTCAGTTTCACATCATTTTCGGTATGCTGAACATCTTCCCATGCTTTTTTGGTGCTGAGCATCATGTGTCCTTGGGACACCTTAACAAGTGACTTGGGCCCCTTTCTCACACAGAATGGCACTTTGACAGGGACGCCGCTCACAACTGCTGCTTCTCTGGGAAGACCTTTTCCTCCTCCTGGACTTGGAAGGAGCTCTCTCATGGAGTTCTCTCACCCATCTAAGGACCAAGGTGTCTTGGGGCTCTGATTGTCTCCGACTAGGTTCTTGCCCTATGACATCCTCCTTTCTCCCGTCCTTGCCCTGGGCTTGGAAGGCTCTCTGCTGTATATTCTCTACAACTTAGGTAGCTCAGAAGACTCTAAAGGATTGTACTTCCCAGATATTGGGCTTATATTCATGTAAGATGTAATGATTTGTTCTTAATAAGAAAATGCTGCTCAGTTGTAAGACTTCAAATCCTGGCATAATCAACTCTGAAGTTCCTACCTGTAGCCAAAAGGAAAAAAAGTAGCACAATTCTTATCTAAAAATTAAATGGTGACTAAATTTCTTCTGTCTCCCTGTCTAGAGGTCATTTGGGAGGGAACCCACACTGTGGTTCTAGTTGCTCCAGCAGCTATGAAAGTGCCCGAAAAGCAAATCCTGAGTCTAGACATGGCAGTCCAAAGAAAAATAAGGAGAAACCCAGTAAAGAAATGCATTTGAAAGCCCTCATCAAGAAACCGATTTGAACATTTACCCTGCTCTGCCTTCTCCTGTTCCTTGCCTAGAATTTGTGCCTGACTACTCTCATTTACTTCTCCTTCCCCTCCTCAGCCCACTGATGTCTATCCTCATAACGATATTACTTTTAAAATTTTTTAGGACAGAATCAGTGAGATGACCCAATGGTCAGTGAACCAGATGTTCTTAATTAAATTCCCTCAGGTCTCCTACCACTGCCTGCCTGCTCGACCCCACACTTCAGACCAATGTTCCAGCCTTTTGAGACCACTCTTCTTGATGATGCCCCTGTACAGCAGTAAGTAGCTGAAGAAAGAACACCATTGCCCCTTATCATCGACAAGAAGCTGGAATGTTAGGTTTCTGGCAGACTTCTAAAATGGAAGCATGGCTCCCAACATTTTAAAATGGCAAGTTTGAACTTACCCCTAGAAAGTCCCTCTGCTCATTGGGAGACTAGGCAATCATGAGCTATTTCCATGTTAACATCATGGAAAGTTAACCAAGCACCTAACTGCCTATAAAAGATGTCTGACTTTCCATGCTGGTTGCTGTTTCTCTGCTTCCTGAGAGGCAGCCAAGCAGTCTGTTTGCTCTCAGATGAACTGTTGTTACCCATGGAATTGTCTTGGTTGGTGGTCTTCACTGCATGCTTCCATACACACCGTACTCTTAAAGTAAACTCTCCAATGGAAAACCTCTAGACTGACTCAAAATGAACCAGTGTAACATTTTACACTAATATTCATACCTAATTTACTTTATGTTTATTAATTTAGATGTTCCACTTGAAAATGAGTAGGCCTGGAAAAGTGCTTTTGTTTTTAACTCTTTTTAAGACACATTTCAAGTGGGAAATTTTCTGCAAGAGCAAGTGATTATGAGCTGCATATACATGGACTCCTATTCAGCATAATATACAATAAAT